ATCCGAATCTCCAAGTCATGATGAGTTGCCATTCGGCAAGTCAAAGATTAGCGTCGATGTCCAAGCGCCCACTTGGTACCCCTTCTCTCGACAGAGGCATGCTTCATCAATCAATGACCTCCGCTGCTTGAAGCGCGCTTCTAATGCGAAGGAGACAAGTCTTTTGTGCTGAGGTTGTGGAAGATGCGGAGAAGAAGCGCGCGGCTGTCAAGGCCAGGGCTTGGAGTGCTGGCAAAACGAAGAGGAAAAACAGGTGCTATCCTGAGCCTCAGGAACGGGTCCGGCAGGGAGAGCAGCGGATCGAACAGCTACGCGAGCAGGCAAAGCATGGCAAAGCAACCGGTGTATTGCCTGCTAGGAATGAATTCGGCTCCCGAGAGGTCAATGCCCTGCAAAGTCAGATTGCCGAAAGCCCTGAGGGCCTGGAGAAGGCAGTTTGTTGTTGCATCTTGAGCGTCCAAAATGAAGCCCAACTACCAGGAAATTGAAGAGTTGAAGAGCGGAGTCTGTCAGCTGAAGGCAGCCGTTGTAGGAGCGATGCAACGAGTTCGCGCATGCGCAGCCATGTGACATGTTGGCATGTCGGCATTGAACGCTCCCTTGCCCTCGTGGCGCATTGTCCGCCTGTGCGAGGCAGTGCTGGAGGAGAAAGCAAATCAGCGCAGGGCACACACTCAAAGAGATCAAGTCTTTTGCAGGCCTTTTTTTTTTTTTTTTTTTAAGTGGCTCTATTCAATGCAAGCAGGTCTACTTGAAGTCTGCGTTCTGATGAATGATAACTACTGGGCGGGTGGAGCATCTTGGGCAAACTCTGTCAGGCTTCTCAGGCATCTGGAATCCTACAAGGATGAGACGCTTGCCTGCTTGTGCATTACATGGAAGTCCAAAACATTTAGTCACGTAATGGACGTAGCCCTTGGCTTGCATTGCAACACTTCAGGCTCAGTCGCCCGAAGCTCAGGGTGTGGTTCAGGATCGTCCGGTCTTGAAGTTTGGCTCACCGCTTCTGCTGTCCGCTGTACATTGCCTGCCAAGCTAGAAGGTGTGGGAAGTGTTGCAGCCAGCGCTGATTCTGCCAAGCAGCGCGCAACAGCGGCACGAGAAGAGCTTGTGCGGCTGCGGCAGTCTTTGGAGGCCCCCCTGCTGAAGCTCAGATGCATTGCGGTCAACGATGCATCTTCAGGCCGCCAAGCAAGATGGAAGCGAGCTTGAGCAGCTCGGAGCTCAGATGAGCTCAGGGTGCAGTGCGCAGTTGCCTGTACCCAGTCGCCTACAGATGCGATCTGCACGCAAGAAAGACATCGTGATTCGTCTGGCTTTTGTCCAGCAGATATTCGCTGTGCACGTCAGAATTGAGCCTACGCCTACCACGTCTGTATGTCATGATGAGCAGCTGGGACCGGCTTCACTACTGCGCCATTGAAGGTTAGTGGAACCCAGAGTTTGATTTGTAAAGTCAAGGTTAAGTCAGCCTGCATAGCATGATCAGCCTTGCGTAAGGGGGGTTGCAGGACAGATGTTTGTACTAGTAGCTGTTGCTGCTGTGAAATGTCCTTATTAACGTACCTGAACGCATCAAGACAAGGCTTCTGGGCCATGCACCCTCGCTTATGCGCAGACCCAAATCTAGAAGCTTATGCATGTGTGATCTGTTTCCTGAACAAGATGTTTACTTGCAGCGTTCCTGAGCAGTACAGGCGCTAGAGTAGGCAGCAGGCAGTACGGCAATACAAACATGTGTGTTGCATGGCTTGATGCTGGTGCTGGATGGAGTGTTGAAAGCGAGAGGTCCTTGAAGTGCGTTGCGGGAGACAACGAGAGAGCAAAGCAGGTGCTTCCCAAAACCTTTCTTAATCGCATCTCCATTTGCCCCAGACCTGCAGGTGCACGCTGAGCGCATGGAGCAGCTGGAGGCCTGCCCCGACAGCCATTCAGAGAATTCGCAGGGAAACTAGCTCTGAAACGTGTGTAGTTTGGTGACTCAAGGCCAGTGTTGCGCCTGCGTAACGCATCATTTTGCGATTCGTCAGGGAAGGGTTCAGGCAAGCGTTGCCCCGCAAATCTGCCGTTCAATTTGCAACGTTAGCTGAACGGGGATGCAGCTGTTCGGTTTCCAGAATGCAGGAAGCTGGAGCACATACCTTGAAACAGTGAGAAGGTCAGCAGAAGTCCTGAATAAGAGCGTGTCAGGTTCGCAGGCAAGCTGCACTTCAGCAGCACCAGGAGCTGCAAGCAAAGCGAACAGAGGCCACCTCTGCTTCAATCACTTAACATCACTTTACCGAGCTAGCTCTGCAGCTCATCGCCTCTTTGTAGGAGCAGCGGCAGCTTCACCAGCTGCAGTCGCAGCGTCTTGAGTTGGAAGCAGAGGCGCGTTGGTGGCTAGTGACGGCTAGTGGAAGATGGCGTCATTGTTTGGATTGGCTGACTTAGATCGCGAACAGGTCGACTAGGGTTCTGTTGCTTGATTTGTAGGTAGGTTCCAACTGGCTGATGTAAAAGATGACAAGTCTGCTGGTAAGGTGGCTGCTGTGCGTCGTGCACATGCGGCTGAGATGGGGGAGCTCCGAGTGATGTGGAAGGCGCTGTGATCCACGTTCTTCCATCTGTAGCGCCTTACAGTCAAAATGCCTCAGGCCGTTCTGGACAAAGCGGAATCCTACAACCTCTCCCTGGAAGCTCTGTTTCACGAGCACAGCGACTTGGCGCTAGCACATCCTTCTTTGTAGTGTGATCTGGCATTGCTGCGCCACCATTGTCCCAACAATGTGGAAGAGACTTTTGCCCACGGCCAAGTTTCCTTCCGCTTGCTACCCGTCCGCTGCTCCCCTCGATCATTTTATCTTAAGCAATGTTGAGGTACTTCCTGAGATTTCCTAAGTTGTCACCATCGCATCTGAAACCTGTTGTTCTGGTTCTTGTCAATAGACTGTTCCAGAAAGAACTACAGCACTAGTACAGGCCAGAATACAGATGTTCTGCGAGAGGTGCACAGATGTTGCAACTACACCCTGTCACTCTACCCGCTTTGCCCAAGCATCGTTTGCGATGATGAAAAGGGCCTCAAGTCCTCTCCAAACAGTCGGCCAAGCCTAGGTTAGGCTTCAGTTTGGTGATGTCGAAAAGTCTCCACGTGCACGAGTCCTTGCGACCTTGTTACGCGAAAAACGGACTCACCAGGCAATGTCCGTGGTCTGATTGAATTATTTTGCGAGGGGCTTTTCGCTCCAGGAAATGCTGACTGGATTGACTCATGCCTAGAGCTCCAGGATCTCCTGCAAGTAGCAAGCAAGGTATCTTGTGGGCAGGGCGTTGTGTGTGGAGACCTTCCCATGACATACATGACTAGGTCACGGAGACGGGAAGGTTGCTTGACTTGCGCCTGTTCTGGCCAGTGTTGGCCGGTGTGTTCTGAAAGCAGTGTCTCTTGAGTCGGCAACCGACGCAGCACCCTTTCTAATTCGCGGTTCGTGTACATGCACTTAATTTGCTTGCACGCTGCGTCTCTATATAGTTGGTCTCATGCTCGAGCACTCGGTTGCTTGGCAAGAAGTAGTTTTTTGTGACATGCATGGATCCAGTTAATGCGACGCCCATCGCAAAAAAGGATTCTACCTTGCAAGATGCAAGTGCTTCAGCTACCACCGGCCTCTGCCCAGCGGAGCAGGTAATCGAGAAGGGCTCGGCTGTGCACTGCGTTTCTGCTTACGAAGGGGACGTGGGTGCCTGAGTGGGCACTTGCCACATCAGCAGTCAGCCTATTGATTGCTCGACAGGTTCTCATTCTGGGCAGCGATGGGGTGCCTGGCCTTGTGTTGCATTGGACTATAATGCATGTGCTTCAACCAGGGCAAATGTGCACATCTCGTCAGCGTCTGCGTGCCCTCTTCTCGAAGTCTCATGACCTCCCACATCCTTGTGCGCTTTCTCTTGTTCAGCTCGATTTCACCGCTCATGACTCGTCGATAAGGTTTGAGAACTGTACTAGCGTTTGGGAGGGTTTGTGCAGGCGCCATGCTTTGCCTCAGGGGTCATGGATTATCAAATGCAAGGAAGCCGTCTGCTGCGTAAACTTGCAGCCTTGATGATTTGAAGCTGGCTGTGGAACAGCGGCCTAATGTGTTTCTCCTGAAAATGAAATTGATTATTGGCCTGCTGGTGGGGGGTGATGTCACTGGAGCCAATTCCCGCAAAAGTTCGGCATGCTAGTTCTCCTTGTGCCCAGAAGTGAAGACCTAACGGACCCGGAGCTCATCGAGATCATTACATTCGCAAGCTGGAAGTACAAGCGGGATGCAGTAGTGCGCGCAACCAACGGTTTCTTCACGATGCACCGTGACAAGACTGTGCCATGTGCGAGGTGCACGGATTTCAGGTGCGACAGTTGTGGCAAATGGCGAGAAGCCGTACAAAATATGCTCTTGTACGGTTTGCTTCCCTACCTACGGCCCACAGCATTTGGGGTGACTTGCTCCAGTGACAAAAACCACCCCCCGGCCAGAAATCGAAGTTAACTCGGGGGGTTTAGTGCCAGAAGATTCCCCTACAAGCCGTGATATTATGTTCGCCTTTATGAAGGAGTCTTTTGTTTGCCGCAGGAGGGATGTCATGCAAGCTATGCCAACCTTAGCAGCTCTGGTGGCCTTTCCTCTGGCCTTAAGCTACATTCCACAACGCTCCAACACTTTTCATTTATTTGTTCCTCGGCGGTCCAAAAATGCCTCTAAACTTCATGCTGAATGCGACTGGCAGCGCAGACCTGAAGAGACGTGCTGCGCCAATCATGGCATCGCATGCAAGGGATTTGGGACTCCTGAGTTCAGGTATTCGATAATCTCTTCCTCGACGAGATTGTGGAGGCACGCATCCTGTCAGAAAGGAGCAGGCTTGACGCGCCAATGATCCATGGTGATGATCCATGATTGCTGCCAAGTTCTGCTGTTGAGTGCACTGGCCATCTATACTATAGTTGGCATTGCTATTATGAAGTATCACCTGTGATCCCGGTTTAGTTCCTCCCTTCTTGGCCAGATTTGCAATGAGATCCTTCCGGCTCCGTCAGCCAACCACTTCTCCCCGATGCCAGCGCAATATCTGAGCCAGGCCTGGAATACGGTTCCGGCATGGGATGCTGTTAATACATGTCAGAGTACATGGGGGTTGCACTGGCTTTTATGGTCAAGAACCAATAAGAACCATATCCGACATGACATGAGTGTTCAGATGAGGCAATTGGATGTTATTGTGATGGATGCGCTTTTTTGGATGCTGTTCTCTTAATGACGACATGGTGCCGTAGTTTGGGGTTGCATCAACACGCAAACCTTGCCGCTTTTCCAGAAGCGAACATTGCCCAACGGCCGAAAATAATCACCTGCAGTCTAAGCAGGTACCGGACCACAGCTGCACGGGTCTGCATGGATTGCTTACACAGGTTTGCATAATTAAGCCTTGAGTTCATGGTCTACCGACCTAGGTTGAAATGGGAAGAAGTAAAAAGAAAAGACGGCTTGTCTGCGGGCTGCGAAACCTGGGCCTGTCTTGGCAAAGGGCTGGGTCAGCTATTTCGAGGACATGCCTGTTCCCCGTCAGAAACCGAGTCAAAAATGTTTCGTGACGTACGAGCTAAAAATCATGCAGCTCAAGCTCAAGATGTGCCTTCGGCATTTGTCGGCTTTGCTGCAATCCTTTTCCCAGCCTGGCTGTAAGCAAGACCTCATGAGCAGCTCTAGCTGCATGAGGGGCTTGAGTTGCGGATCCCTGAGGCAGCTCAGCGCATCGTAAAGGAGTCCCATGCAAAGTCGGATTGTGTCAACGGACAGTTCCTTGACACGCCCATTGGGAAAGGCTCGGGAGACAGCCATGTCTTAGTCGTCCGCAAGCCCTATCAAACAGTCTCGTCAGGTGGAAAGGTGGACGATACCTCCGTTGTCGTGGGCGAGATAATCGAATGGACGGAAGCCCATACGCAAATATGGTCGGAGGCAGGCAAAGCACACGTCACCATGACCACTGCTATGCGTACCTTTGTATGCAGGTTAGGAGGAACCGGAGATGGAAGGATGTCATCTCTTGTGGTGGTTTGCAGTCGCATGCCCAGCACTGCCTCAGCACAGCTCGATTCAAAAGCAAAGCTTCTGTAGCGCGTGCATTCCCAGGTGCGGCGTTGCAGCCAGACATCCCTGCTCTTGCGAGGCTATCTGCATGACGTGCTCGCTGCCTCAGTTCATCTCAATACACTCGGAGATACCCTTACGCCGTTGCAACATCTTTCAATGGCCAATTTTGTGTAAGCCAAATCGCTTGTGACGAAAGATTTTTGTGGTTGCAGAATGTCGCAGACAGGGAGACGATGACGAGAGGAGTCGCTTCCGAGGGCGTAGAATCGCCCTGAGTTATTTTCATCTGCTGAAGTACTCATAGGTTGAAGTCAGCTTGCAAGATCAGATGTGAGCATGAATGGTAAGCACTGGCGACTAGCACTTCCAGACTTCAAGCCAGTTATGGACTTCAGGCGAGGATGCCAGCGAGTGTGCTTCTCAGCCTTGTGTATTTCAGGCATTGTGTCTGTGATTGTGCCTGCTCCGCGCAGGGATGGCTCCTCAGAAGAGGAGGAAGGTGGATGCTCCATCGCATAGGATTGTCCGTTTCACGGTTCCATGGAGCAAGCCGCCCATTAGAGTTCTACTTAGCACAACACTCTCTCCAGCTTAAGAAAGAGCGCATCATGTAGTGCCATGTAGTGCTAACGACTGCCATTGTTGCTGCACTGCACGGCCTGCTTCATGATGCGGATGTGAATAGCTTATCCCAAAGACGTCCCACGTCTACATTGTAAACATGAATTTTGCTGCGCTTGCTGAAGCCGGCAGAGAAATCAGATCAAACCCATACTACTTAAGTCAGCCTTGGATCGTGTTGCCTCGCAGCCTGAGCGCATAGGCACTCGACGCCTGCAATTAAGAATTCACGTGGACCTCAGCGCACATCGCCACGTGTGCGCCAAACAAGGGCAGCCTGCACCGCGTCAGCCAAGGCTTGCTTCGCTGTAATGCAACACTATGGTAGGGGATCTCTCCGTGCAAAGCTGTGCTGAGAATGCTGGCGATTATTGTTCTGCGAACATTAGTTCGATCGCTGCCGCGGTAACAGGATGTTTGGGAGGCTAAAGAGGTCCTCGGTGCATAGGTTGACGGTGAGGGGCGCGGGGGGGAGGAAAGGCAGAAAGGGGGTGCAGAAGGGATGTGGTGCTGGGGGCGCGGCAAGGGCATGGTCAACCCAGAAGACCTTGTGGGGATAGTATAGCCTCCTATAGAAAACAAGCTTTAAGATTGTATCCTCTTTTTGCGTAGATTATGCTTATAAGAAAGAAGTTTGTACTCTGACTCGGTTAAAAGGCATTGACCCTGGGCATGCTTTCTAGGTTCTTGAGCCCAGGGAAGCGTCTCTTGCAGCTGGAACGGGGCCTGCCCGTCGGGGGATTCTGGACGCAGGAAAGCAACAAGGCGTCATGCACAAAAAACACAGGACCAACACCATACACCCTAAACCAAGAAGTTGGCACAGCTGCGGTCGGATGCATCACGCTGTGTTCTTTCATGGCAGGCAACAGGACCGCCTGAGCGGAATGCATTGCGTAAATTGGAGAAGGTTTGGTTTCAGAGAGTCTCTTGGAGCGGGTTTCGGGGGAAGATGCGCGGCTCAAATGTGAACTCCTGACATACTTCACGTCATTCGTCCCGACCGCAGCAGCATTTAAAAGCATCAGTAGCACTTGAAATTATGCGTATGAGCATCCTGAACCATCAATCAGAGTCCTTGGGCCAGCATTACCTCTAATTAACAGCTCACCCTCGCAAGAGCAGGCATCCTGCTGCAGTCTAAGGTGGACCATTGCATTGTGGATGATATTCAGAGGCCCCTAAACCCATACCACAGACCATTGAGCCTAGACCTGAACTGGCAGATGAATTTTGAAGACCAGTCAGTTCCAAACAATACTTCAGACGCCCTTAGCCCCAAAGCAGTTCCAGCCCCAAGTTCGAAACCCCTGACAGGGTGTGACTTTGGATACAAGTGAAAAGCAGACATCAAAACCATTTCAGCATTTGGTCGTGAATTGATTCGCTCTCGGGGGTAGGTGGCCGAGGCGGAGTGGAGGGGAAATTTGAGATACCCAAGCCCGCCGGCTGGGGCATGCGGGCACGCCTCGTGCAGGGTACTGTATTAAATTAGCCAAAGCCAGCCAAAATCCGCTTAAAGAAAACCCGACCCAGGCCGGAGAGGAGAAAGCAGGGGGCGAGGGGCTGGGAGCACACACCTCACCCAGGTCCTTGGACCGCCTCGGCGGATTTCTGAGTCTCTGACTTGATGCAAACGGTCTCTGAAACTCGAGCCCCAACATTTTGTTGATAAAGACCCTCCTGCTAAACAAATTCGCAGTCGTCTGGGCTTGAGCACTGAGTAATTTGACCGACATGAAGAAGGCGCGGCAACTTAGGGAGCAGTTCAGCTACTGACAGTCTGGCAGGCGTTGTTTGTACCACATCCTTCGGTGTGGACCGGCTATTGGTGCATCCCACAAGCTCTTTCGATTCACAGCGGTGGCAGCAATGTGTCATGGACAAGACTGATGAGGCAGTTTTCGTTGGTGTAAGGCTACGGCCCTTCCTGAGCTACGAAACACGACAACAATGCCTGACGGCTTCTGAGAATGTCATTTCTGTTGTCGGGGAGTATCCTGACAAGAAGAGAAAAGACTTTGGATTTGACTGCGCCATGGACAGCACGGATTCTTCAAAGCCAGGCTATGTGTCACAAGAGAAATGTTACGAGTTGATGGGACGGCGCATGGTGCAACATTCCATCTCTGGATATCATACTTGCCTGTTCTGCTACGGACAAACTGGCAGCGGAAAGACTTTCTCTTTCATGGGCAAGAAGAATGAGTCTGAGCAAGGCTTGTTGCCTCGTCTCCTGCGTGATCTGTTTGGCCAGGTCGAATCGTTGCGCAGCCTTGGTGGTCAGGTGCACTGCCGGGCGCAGATGCTGGAAGTTTACAACGAAAAAGTTCGAGATCTGCTCGAGGAGAAAGATAAGCCCAAGGCGCCTGAGATTCACGTACATCCTACTGTAGGTGTGTATGTTGATGGGGCAACGGATACGCAGATCGAGACGCATGAGCATCTTCAGAAGTTGATTGAGACGGGGCTGTCGAGGGCCAGCGTAGCGGCGACAATGAGAAATGCCCAAAGCTCTCGAGGGCATACAATTTTCAGGCTGCTACTGGAAAAGCACGAGGAGGATCACACCGTTGTTTCCTCAGAGGTTTTCTGTGTCGATCTGGCAGGGAGAGAGAATGAAAAGACGACCAAAGTGACCGGGGAGAACTTTGTAGAACTCACCTTCATCAATCGGAGCTTAATGTGGCTTGCACAGTGCATACAAGGTCTTGGGAAGCAGGCACGTCAGCGCAGCAACTCAGAGGAACTCGACGGACCGAGCCGTGCTCGATTTCGGAACTCCAAGCTGACCTTGCTGCTCTCAAATGCCCTCACGGGCAACTCCAAGACCTGCTTGCTAGGAACCCTCAGTCCAGCTGCCATCAGTTTGGATGAAAGTTATGTCACCTTGAACTTTGCCAGCACCGTGAAGAGCATCAAGGTCACTGCAACACGTGTGGCAAAGGTTGATAAGGACTCCTTGATCCAGAGCTTGAACGAGGAGCTGCGAAGTTTGAAGGATCAGCTGAACAGCGCCACCCCACGAAACGCGCAAGATCTGGATTCTCAGGCTGGCTTTATCCACAACATCATGGAAAGTTACAGGGCCCGTTGGGAAGAGGCACAAAAAAACGCTGACATGCTTCGCAGACAGAAGGATGACGCGTTGCAGAACCTTGCAATCTCAAGGTGGAGGTTTGCTAGAGCGACATTGAAGAATCAGCTTCGTGAGGCGCGGCCGGAAGGACGTATGGCTTTGATCGATGGGCCAGGAACTGGTGGAACTGTACCATCCACAGCGCCTGCCCAGACTGCGGATAACCTGTACTTTGAAGCACAGCTTGAGACTTTGGAGCCCGGCTGGCATGAGCCACCATTATCTGAGCGCAAGGCTTCGCACGACACTGCGAGCCCCCGATTGGAGGCCCTGCGCCACCTGCCGCCGGCAGCTTCTGCAGAAGTGGGCGCTTGGCTACAACACTGGCGAACGCCAGCAGTAGACAGCTTTTTGTTTGCAATGAGGATCGCCTCGAGAAAGGTTTTCCATCAGGTTTCCTGATACAGAATGAGGCTAGGGGCTGCCAATTCAGGAATCCTGTGGCCTGTGGGCTCTCCTTTTGCAATTCGTATGGCCGAATGGCATGTAGGCGGGTGACCAGACAGACATGTGACATGGAAGGCGAGCCAGTTGCAGAGGGTGAATTTGGATGGCCACTGAATATGGTCCCGTTATGCAATGCTGGTGTGTATGTGTGTGCTAGCTACTGGTTTCTTCTTGTTGCACGATGGGTCTGCCTTTGTTCCAGTCTTTGAGCATCATTTTGGGCTGGGTCAGCATTCACTGTCTATTTTTGTCAGCTGCATGTTGTGGGATGGACAGCCCTTCACTGCTCCAACCAGACTTGAGCATGCTCAATACAGGCCATGAGGCCATTTAGACAAGCTTGCCTCCGACTTGCTTGTGCCAAGGTCCAACGAAGCTTGTTCGCACTGAATTCCATGGATGCACACACACATATTTACTGGCATGGATCGCTGTTTGTGAACCCCGTACTCAATGTGCAGCGTGTGTGTTTGAGGCGGCCACCAATACCTAGCAGCTTGGCTACAGTGAGCACACGTGGTCGAGTTCCTTCAATCTGAAACGATACAAACTTAAGCTGTTTGTCTTTTGACGTACTTGCCTCTGGACGACAACGACAATGACTGAGTCAGGTCTGGTGATGTATTCAAAGGATCCCAGCTTTAGTGGGAGACTCGTATTTCATGCAGAAGAAGAAGGCAGAACCAAGTGCTTAGCAGCTTTCGTTTGCAATGGTTGCATGATACGCATGCGCAGGACGCCGATATATCCTGGGATGTGGCTTTGCTGCATGATCTTAGCATGCGGGTTAGCCGCCCAAATCTGGAAAGCAGGCTCGCCCCGCTGTGACTTCCAGTTGCCGCGGGCTTCTGGAATATGTGCCTCTGAAGCATCAAGAATTGGCCGGGAGTCTGAGCTAGATGCATGTGCGAACTTGTGCAGCTAGAGTGCAGTGGCTTTCAGATTTATTTGGGCATGGCCTCATGCTGAATCCTGCTTAGATCTGTAAGGTCCGGAGACATGCATTCTCTGGAAGGACATGAAGTTGTCACCTGCCGGGGATCCATCCACATGTTAAGGGGATGTTTTAGGGGGGTTGGGAAGCTCAGGGTGCGGGCAGTGGCAGCCTTAAATGTTCAAAAGGCGGCCGTGTTGGGTGATGTTGGATGCCTCAGCTGAGAACCTTGCCTGAAAGGTCTGGACAGGTGGTTCCCAGAGATGCCCTAAGCCAATGAGTTTAAAATCACAATGGAGTTTGTTGCAAAAGCTCCACCATCAGCACCGCCATCCAACCCGAATCGACCAACACAAGCTTGCCGCCGCGCAGGAGTCGGGACATCTCTTCATCAAGCCGATGGGAATAGTTCTGTTGCCGTCCGCTGCAATGGAAGCTCCATGTCCGCGCTTGTTCGGGCAGGGTCGGGATACATGAAGATTCAGCTGATGTTGTTGCCAGCTGCGCCGTGTAAGTTGGTTGCATGGCAAGGTAAATGGCGTCCGACTTGTTCGTGCTGAAGCTAAAGAACTGTTACATCAAGACTTCGTCGTGCTTGGCCATTCCTTCAGGCGAGGTGGAAAGTCTTGAGCGGTCTTAGGTGCGGCAGCTGCTGGAAGTGGAAAAGCTTGCCAAAGACATTAAAGAGTTTCGCGGACATCTAGCATTCTGTTCGAACCTCAAACTCAAACTCAACCTTGTCATTCTTCTTATTCTTGTTGAAAGCCCCGCTGCGATCGCCCGCAGAAGCATTATCATTAGCTTGACTGCTACCGCTGCTGCTACTGGTGCTGTCGCTGCAACTTTGGTGCCGGAGCTGGTCGCCCATGCGCCCTTGAGAGGGCGCAAACCGAATACACAAGTTGAAGTAGTTCCCAGATTTCTGCGAGTCCTTTGAAGCTTCGGCAGCTTTACAGTAGTGAAAGATCCAAGGCCGTGTGTGCAAAGGGCTGTAGATTGCTGGAGGCACGAAGACGTCTCAAAACATGTGGGACAGGCACTCATTGAAAAGCAAAAGTTGCACAGGGCATCACATGAACGAGTGTGTTGGTGGATCGTCCGTTGGGATCGGTGAGCATTTTCTTGAATGATTTGTTGTCTCGCTGTACCATGTGCTTCCGGACGTTGCCGAGCAAGGGTGCTTGGCAGTGCCGGCGGCATGAGCCCCCCGCATGTGTCATGCTTTGCAGGTTTTTCGTCTTCACGAAGCCAGACCCGACAGTCCAAGCACTGCTTTTCAGCAGACGTGCAGAGGAAGGAGGCAGGACCTCAAGATGCCCCTACCATTCTCTATCATTCTCAAATCTTTAGCTCAGTGAGGACTGCTTGATGATGGGCAAGAAAGTCTAAAGTTCCTGTCAAGTCAGCGATGTGCATTGGGCTCACAGCTTCTGACGGGGTGTTCTCGTCCAGAAAAGTGATGCATACCAGAGGATGCAAGAAAAGTGCTCAACAGGCTTCTTCTCTCTGCGAGCCGACACGTGCCACGTACTTGGGCATGGCCAGCAAGCAGAATGCTACTTAAAATTTTGCGATAGGCTGGGCCAATGACCCGGCAAATCTGACTTACGTCCTCCTCCACTCTGAGTGCAATCTACCTTACAAGCGCAAGAGTTCATGGATCCACTTGTGGCCAGGCTGGCCATGCCCAGGTTAAGATGGATTGCTTGCGAAACACTTGCTGCTTCTAAGTACTTGAACTTTCAAGCAGGGGCAACACCAAAAAGATCCTGACTCACAGTTTGTCTGCACAGAAACTGGCGAAAAGGGGGATGCGTATGGATGCGTAGGCTATTCTGGGATGCAGTGTGGCCCAATGTTGGCAATGACACTGCAATTCCAATTCATCACCATCCGTCTGTTGGGAATCACTACGTTTAGCCTCGTTTCTACAAATGGTGACAGCATGTGAGCCGGCAGGTGCAAATGAGTCCACCAACAGCGTCATCAGAGGCCTCAACTGCTGGGATGAAATACACTACCTGCTTAGTCCATGTCAATCCGTGATCATTGGCAGGCATCCTGGCAGAACGCTCCTGCTCACCACTTGAGATGGAGCGGGCCAGAAGATATTTGCATGCTTTGGAGGAGGACATGGTGTCGAGTAGTTCATCAAAGGAGGACTTTCTCAAGACAGCAATGATGGCTCGGAACATGGTCGAGGAGGCCAAGGCTTTGTCCACATCGCTACGGCCACATGACGGTCTCAGCTACGATCTTCTGACTTTGTCACCTGTTCTGTCGCTTCATGAGCTGGGGATGCCCGGGATGCCCAGCTTGTGTGTTCGTGTGATGCGGAGAGGACAAGGACATCCTACTCCTGTCGAAGTGGCACTCTGGAGCTTCAACACTTTTCAGAACCGGCTAAACCTGATGAGGCGCGCTCATCAGGAAAGAAGCCTTGCTGCCGGGTCTCACATCAACAGCCCTGACGCTAATCCTTGGCGCGAGCTGACAACATATTCGCAAGGTGTCGCACGGAAACCGGTCCCTGCTGGCTGTGCTCATCAAAATGCAGTTGGCCAGCCTTGCACGACCGTCTACCGCCCTGTGCAGCCTGCACGGCTTACAACAGTCTCTCAGTCGTCAACGCTCCCGGTGCAACCACTTGTGCCGGTTTCTGTGGCACCGATCATAGTGCAGCCTCCATCTTCCTGCGCGTCATCACCGCGCATAGCTCGGCAAAGCGGGCAAAGTTTGGAGCAAGCCTCTGCTTCAGCCTCACCAATCTCACCATCGACCAGCACGCGTCATCATGCGGCACCGTGAAGTTTAAGGAAGCAACGACTGCTTGGTCCGGTCGAAGTGCAGGCGCCATGCAGGCGCCAGGTTCACAGGTTAAGCAGATGAAACGGCTCCATGGTCACGGCATTTACATCTGGGATTGACTCCTCTACCCTCACCGTCACACCCTTCCAGGATCCTTTCGGACTTCTGTGGCCTTGTTCTAGTCTTGCTGTGCCAACGCCTGGAACAATGCTGAATTGTGAGAGCAGGATTCAACTCCACAGTAAGACATGCGAGTTTGACGGAGTTCTTCATCGGTTGCAGATACTCCTGAACTCCTTGACGAGGCAACATGCTTCTGGCACGTGACCTTGACGATGGACTTCATCTTGCTCTCAACCCGATTTTGTGAAGCTGTCCAGCATTGTTGAACAACGTGGGCGTGTGGCAGGAGAGAAGCTCTTTGCGGAAAAGGTCTGCTTCACGTGAGGCGCTTCCAAACACTGGTGGCATGGCCTCTTCGCAGCCTCAAGCTTGGTTTTCCCTAGCGCAGCCCTGCTTAACCACTGAGCCGCGGCGCTGCGAGAAATGTTTGGACTGCATTGTGCCTGTGAGCTCGCAAGAGGTTTTTGCCTACAGCTTTTCATGTTCCCATGCATTCCGACGCCGCCGCAGCTTTAAGCCAAAGTGTGAGCTTGGAGATTAGCATGGTGCAAGTAGCTTCTTTTTCGTAGGCAAAATCAGAGACAGAGGGGGGTTTACCCGGGCAAGGATTGCCAAGACAAGCACACCCAGCCAAGCAAAGTACGCATAGTCCGGGCATTCGCAGTGAAGGGCCTGAGGCACGCGCCGCTTCCGATGTTGCGCTCTCAGTTGTCCTGCCTCTGCCGCTGAAGCGCACCGCAGAGTCTCTCAGGTCAGAGCCGGCAATCGGAGGGGAAGGAGCCAGCGGGTCTGAAAAAGGTCCAGAGGTTGCACGTTCCACTATTTCTCATCACCTTCCCACTTTGCAAAGCCGCTGCACATCTCTGCACTGTGACACCTGGTTTGGTAGTCAAGGTGCAGTACGCAGTGTGCCTAAGCAACAATTCCTTCAGTAATCTAGAAACAATCTTGGGCGGGGCATGGCAGGGGTGAAGGCGGGGGGGCGTTGTGCTTTCAGGATGCTACTTCATCAGCGTGACGACATGTAGCAGGGCTTGTTGCATTGACATGGTATGCAAAAAAGCACGACTGAGCTGAGATGAGAGCACTGTTGGCGCGACGTTCAGGCATGCGCTTGTAGCTTCCTTTTGGTGTCAGAACCACCTTTGCCTCGGGCAATTTTGAGGTTGCGGAGCATTGACAGTTTTGCGGCTGCTCAAGAGGCCTTATGCAGAGCATGTCGCTGACATGTGAGCTGTGAAGGAGACAGCAAAGGCTCGGGCTCTGGGCGCTCCAGCCGCAGGACCTGGATCTGGATTTTGAATATTGGCACATATCCGACTCATCAGACGTGCTGGGAACCCGAAAGGAATAGAGCCTTTCGCAACGGCAGTGGGCAGCAAGGTTGCCGGACCATACTTGCTTCGGTAGCCAGTACTCGTGCTTCAGCTTGCAGGTGGCTCTCGCTGGGTGCCTTCGGTCAATGCAGGCGTGAGAGAACAAGGAGAGGCCCAAGAGACGCAAGACGCTCAGGCTCAGGAGTTACCAGGCGCGCTGCCACCACTTCTCTACGCTGTCAGTTTGAGTTCTTGTCACGGATGGATAGGCGAACCAAAGCGGAGCTCCAAAGGCCACGGTCTTCTGAAGTTGCCTAAACGCTGCATTCTATGCATACCAGATCTCGCGAGAAATCCATTTTGTTTCTTGTGAGAATTTGGGAACGTCTGGCAGAGGCAATATCAGACATCCTTTGGACGTGGAAGAATTGTAGTAAGCACGTGCTAGTGATGCTTCAGCTGTTCCGAAAGCCTGTTTCGGCCAGCTCGCTTTTGAGTCGGGAACGTTGGGCTTCGGCATGCTGACAGGCTTCAGCTTAAAAATGATTGTACGGCAAAAGAGAATGTTGAGCACAACCTGCAGCAATAGGTGGGTAGTTGGTGGTTTCGTGGTGATGGTTTTGTTGGTGGTGTTGGTGTTGGTGGTGTTGGTGGTGTTGGTGGTGTTGGTGTTGGTGGTGTTGGTGGTGTTGGTGGTGTTGGTGTTGGTGGTATTGGTGGTGTTGGTGTTGGTGGTGTTGTTGGTGTTGTTGTTGGTGGTGGTGGTGGGGGGAGCGGCGGCGGTGGAAGCGGCGGCAGCAGTGGTGCTGGTGATGGTGGTGCACCCCAAGGAGGAGGAGGAGCAGCAGCAGCAGCAGCAGCGGCAGCATTGCAAAAGCCATAGTAATAGCAAAGGCAACACCAACAGTAAAGTGGCACTGTCCCCTACAGTAGACTGGAGACGTCTGAGCTGCGTCTCAGAGCTTCTGCTTGCTGACCACAATACCGGGGTGTGCGCTGGCGTTACGGCATGTGATGAGTGTTCACATGACTTCTTGGCGACTTGTACTTCATGGAGACATGGATGATTCTGGCTACCATCGCTGATGAGGGTTTACGTGATAGTGCCAGACTCCAGAACTGGTAAGCAAGCAGGGATACCCTGATACTGATCAAACTTGCCAGGAAAAGGCAAGGGCAAGAGCAGGAGTAAAGGCAAGGGCAAAGGCCGCAGCACTGGCACCGCGCTTAGATGTTGTGGACTTTGATGTCAGAAGTGCTGCAGTAGATCCACAGCACAAATTTGCAGAAAGCCGATTCCGAAGGAGATGGGATCAGCACCGGTGAAGCTGCAGCTATTGATGCGGAGGATGATGTACAGGAGACGGTCCCAAAGGCTAGGTCAGCACGATTCGGCACGCTTTGTTCCATCGACGGTAGTGTTGCGTTTGACTGTACTCGCTCTTTGTCTTCAACTTCGTTGCTTGATCTTCAGCGTATTTGGCTGCAGGAGGAGTGCTCTTCCAAGAATATTTAACATATCCCCAAATGTGTGTTCTTCGCTCTGCAGCTTGGAAGAGCAGCAGCAGCGCAGACAAATAGTAGGAGCTCGTAATGTGCATACGTCATGTGGTAGGCTCCTGTAGGATCGCAGGAGTGAATTTTACGGTGTCCATGCATGGATCCGATCCATTTGTCATCTGAGCTGGTTATTGTTTCCGCTAGTCTTCCGATATTGTGTTGGCGACACGAAAGAGTTGTGATCAATCTCAAAATGCGCGCCCGACTGTGGCCGCGGAAGGTTTGTAGTGGAAGGGGGTAGTTTCGCGGAAGGTGCTGGCGAAAAGCGAATATGAATACAAACTATAACATCAGTCAGTGGGTTTAGAAGACTGAGAATATGGCGTTTATTTATAGGGTTGGGGGATTCACACGAGTACGGGTCTGTTATGGAAGAGGTACCTCAGGTGGCGGAGCGGATGGAAACACGAGCATTATCAGCAAGACACACGATGCAGGTCGGTTTTCAAACTCGGGACGGGAATTTCACGGAAGGTTTGCGCAAGGCGGAGTGCAATCTTTTAGCCCATGGGCCACGTGAAGCGTTGCAACTGCAAAAGGCTGCTAGTCGAAATAGCCAGCAGCTCTTTGCCTTGATGCGGAATGTCTGACTCCAGCACGTCGAGCAGCAGCTCATCCGCATCCTAAAGTATGCCATGAGCAAACGATGCTTCACAGAAGGTTGTGGAAGCAGCGAGTGGCGAGATGTGAAACGGATGATGGCGCTCTGGGCTGCGGAAGAATGCGGAAGGGTTCACTGCAGGGTTTTTCGCGTCATAAGAAAGTATATAGAATATATTGTTCATCTGATGCGTGATATGGGTCAGAGAACCAGTTGGACGTTCCCCGTGCCCAGTCGGGCTATACAAAATCCGTCACAAGTCGTGCAAATGCCATACACTACCCTCGCGAAGCTGCAGAATTTGTACAAAATCTAAGTCTGTGGCAGTGCCCAAATCAATCGATGACGAATCAGCAGTATCCGAGATACCTGAAAAGATAAGACTGATGCAGATCAGGCGGACTTATCTACGCAACCAACCTGTTGCGCAGACATGCGAACCTCAAGCTAGAGCACAAATGTTTCGGATCACATTATGAAGATGCTACGGCGCACCACGAAAAACATCAAAAGCACCTGGCTTTGATATGCTTGAAGGTGGCGCGCGTGCGGAAAGGTCTGACCGCTTTTGAGAGAAAGGCGCTGAACCTTGTGTCGTCACAATTTTTGCGACCAACCCTTCTCCGGGGAAAGCTGCTTTGAAAGAAAGGTGAAGAGGTCTGGAGTGCTAGCAAACTTCTAGTGGAGGACTTGTCCATCGTGGTGGGGCTAGCTAGAGTGTCTGCAGTGATCTTCTGTTCTGTGTGTTGCAGTTTTTGTTTCTGCGTGTCCCACCCTTGCCCGCCCGATTCCACGCAGGGATAAATAAGGGCCCCTCTGCGGACTTGCGCGGTTTGTGCCTCGTATGGGTTATGCCTTCCTGTGCCGGCACATAGCTATGCGGCACATGGATGCTTGAGCTTCCATTCGCGAGTGCGAGCATTGCCTGTGACTCCTTGCTCCCTACTGCATCAATCCCCATCTGACATCCTAGTCCCACCAGAGATTTTGTTGTTATGTGCACTCACTTTGAAATCCTTGGGCAGAGTGCGCAGCAAAATCTTAGCAGAGAGCGGCTTCTGCACGAGTTTTGCCTGCGCGAGAAAGAAGGACCAGGATTATCAAGTTCTCATGATTTTACAAGTGAGCAGCAGGGTGTTGCATCCTTTGATCGTGCGAAGGCATCTATACAGCTGCAACCGCGTCGGCGCTATGGTTCTTCTACTGGCACAGTGTGCATCTGAGAATTCTTTCCCGCTTATACATATACGCTGGCTTATCGCATCTTAGCACGCAAGCATGGTTGGCAGATGCGCTCAGGTGGCCGAAAGACTGGCAGATCAGCTTTCTCGAGGCGATCCTGTTGCAATCCTGTTGCCATCATCTATTCGTTTGGAGTGCACCTTGCACTGTGCTGTCGCCTGGAGCATTCACTCAGCATCACCCAGCATCTTCCAGGCTCATATGACTGCATGATTTGCTTGACGAAGGCTTGGATTGTGGCTGTGCTCGCAGCCGCCTGCCCTTTGCCGTCTGCCAGGTAAAGCCAAGCCATCCAATCTGGTCATGTGATCAGTGCTGGGCGGCGTGCAGCACCTGGCAATCTGTCTAGCGGAGGCGCGGTATTCTTTTGAGCGACAAGCGTGTTCCCAAGTGAGGTTCCATCTCAAATGCATCAGAAGTTGGGTTCGGCGATGCAACAATGACAGTGGACCGGAGTTCGAGTGGGCATGTCCAGGCCACCCAGAAGCAAGCTTGCCAGTTTGCAGACATGTGCATACCAAGTCACATCTTGGCATTCAGTTTAAAGTTCCGCCAGGGTGTCGCTACCATCGAGTGGATCGCCTGCCCGAGCGTGCAACTCATTCTCTGTATTCCAAGCAAGCTGCCTTCGCTGTCCGTGAGCAGAGAAGAATGTTCCTGATGACGATGTGCAGCCTAGACAGTTGCGTAACTTCACTGCACCATTGTACCACGGCATGTGCGGAATTTGCTGCATGCTAGAGCAATGCAGCACAATACAGCCTTCGCTTTCGCAGCTTGAAGTAGAGAAAGCAAAGATTTGTGCTGAAGCCTGCTGTTTTGAACAATGAAGTTACAGAATGGCTTGTGTATGACAAGTTTGATTTGGCACCGCTGACTGCTGCAAAGCTGCAATTTTCGTCAGCTGTTACGTTAGGTTGTGTGTGCCAGAGTGGTGAAGCGGTTGCACGAATAATCTGTCAAGCCTATGACTCGTTTTTGACTCAGCTTCTTCGCACGCTGTCAGTAAGCGGTGGATGATTGAATTTGCAATGCGTGCGGGCTCGGTGCTGGTTCGCCATATTGAGCTTAAAAGACAATGCGGTGTGTGGAGGAAGATTGTAGGGGGCGACGCGTCACCGAGAGGACCAGACAATTGTATGCTTCCTACCTCAAGTGTGATCAACTCTCAGCTGGGGTGCATTCAGCAGGGCCCGAAAACGAGCGTCTTTTCCTGTGCGCAGCAGCGCATGTGAGACAATGCTGCGAGCGGTTTCGGAACCTCGGAACCTCAGCACCGACCAGAGCTGGACTTTGTTTGCGCGCATGAAGATGTACATTGCTTCTGCAGTGCCTGGTGGCATGTCAATAGCCGGCCTGGCGAAATACTGCTGATCAGCCGAGGTACACGTGCTACTGCAAGAAGATGCCGGAACCGGCTTTGAATCCGCATTGGCCCATGGCTCAGAGATTCACGTGGCCGCAGAGCCGTCTAGAGTTGCACACCTATTCCGAGGTTGGCCCACAGCTGCGGTGAGGCATGTGTTCGTTGGGGGGCCAAATTAGCATCTATGGCTGGCGACAATGGCTTGGAACCACCAGGTCTGTGAGCGGACAAGAGGATGCCGTACTCACAGTCATCTGTGAAGCGACTGCAGTGTTTACATTTGCTCACCGTTGGCTGCTCTTGGCTGCTCCAGTCCATTACTTGTCCTCGCAAGATCTCGCAAGTATGTGCTGCTAAGGCCCCCATCCTTGTCCCGAACTTTGCCATCCTGGGCCTTGCCCGCGTTGCACCGCAGTCGCAGACCAAGCTATCTTTGGCTGCCGACCCTTTGGTCGCGCGTAGCGTGATGTAGCGTGAACGTTTGGGAAAGTGTGTTGGCTGTGGAGTGCCATGGATTTTTTTGCTTCTTGACTGGCGCAGCATTCACTGTGCACTCGTGGTGTCACTGTTGTTTCCAAATTCTCAGGTCGGAGGTCCTGGCAGCTGTTATTGTGGCCGGGAACAGACGGAGACAACCAGGTCCAGGGGCTGTGGTTGCAGACAGCAAAGGAAGCTGCGTCCCAGCAGCCTAATTGCAAAGGTGTGGCGACCCCAAACGATGGTCCTGTGGCCAGCCATGCGGGCGAGCTTTAGCTTGCGGCACTGGGCTGAATGGAGCAGTGCATTTTGTAGCTGGGTCGCCTTCATGCTTTTTTTTTCAAATGACCGGGGCCTGAGGCCAGCACTCCTGCAAAGCAAGGCAAGGGTCATCCATTGGAAGAGTATTTCCAGCTACAGGCTCTGTGATCCAGGTGTCATGATGGGCCTTGCCCGCCATGCTCCGAGACTTCCTGGGAAGCCTGCTTCTGCGGAAAAAAGGAGGATGGGTCCAACACATCCAACACGAAGAGCAGCTTTTGAACGGTCAGGAGCTTCGGCTTTGTGGGCAGGCCAGCTTCTCCTGCCGCCAGCCATGTGGCAAATGCCTGCAGTGCCAGGCACATCTGCAAAGCTATGCCCGCAGCTTTTCTTGTCACGCCACTTCAAGCTGTCTCTTTAAGAGCACAGGCATCCCAGCAGCGAACCAACTAATCAGAACTGGTCAGAGTCATACAGTCGGTTTCTACGGCTTTCTGAGAGCCCCTTCCGGCAACAAGCTGAAGCAGCATTGTGCTGCAGCATGAGCGATTGAACACGGATTTCAGAATTGTCGTCTCGCAGTACATGAGCGATCGCGCAAGTTCCGTCTCTCTAAGCCTCTAAGCACGTAACGTCTGCCAGAAGACCTAGAAGTCATGCATTTGATCTGCGAAACGAGATGGTTCATTCGAGATCAAAGCTTTTGCGTTTCAATGCTTGTCTATGGGAACGAGATTCAAGGCCCCAACCAACTGAAGTACCGCAAAACGAGACTACTAGAGTTTGTCGTTGTTAGATTTCAGAACGGTGTATGTGAAAAGGGAGTCAGTCCTTACTCGGCTGTGCCATGCTCCGGCGTAATGTTAAACGGGATGGAGCGAGGTTGCCGAACGAGTATGAGATTTCTGACCATGTGCCAGACAAAGAACTTTTGACGGCTGCTCATGTAAAGTCAGAAGTTTGTTTGAGTATTTTTCGCATTGATAGTGACCCACGGATCGGGCTTGCAGTTCCTGGCTAAGCCTTCGCTACAAACTAAGAATAACTAAGATCCGAGTCGTGTTTGCGCTTATAGTTGGTCATTGGTTTATGCAGCATTGCTACTTGTAGTTGACTCGTGTCTATTTCCATGCAGGAGATTGCGAGCACTTGACTCTGACAAGCTTGCCACATCTTCCCCTGTTTGGGCTCAGAGTGCAAAGTGCACTTGCCTTTTTTCGTCACGCCCAGATTCCACAGCGTTTTCTATTGCAACTACTACATGGCCATGCTGCGGCAGTCAGTATGTGTGGTCTTGACCTTCAGCGCCGTCTTGGCTGTCACGCCGCCACAGGAGCGTTGGAACACATTTCAAGATGACAACTCTCTTGCAGCTGTGCAAATGCAATAGATCACAACAGCATGCATTCATATTCAATATGAGCGATGGTCAATACTCGCGTATTAGGGACGAAGACAGGGAATGCCGTGAGATGCAGGAACCACGCAAAAAGCCACAAAAGCCCTAAAAGCGATACCGCTCAATCTAAGACGAAGCCATGACTATTTGGGCTGAACCCCCCAAAATCAATGCTTTTCTTTCACCCTACGCAAGAACCCCCAAAAGCGATAGGACCCCCAAGTTGTCCATGGCATCGGGTTATTCTCGGAATTTTCTGGGAACACTCATAATCTCAACATGCCCCTTCAGGACATGGAGGCGCTGTCGGCAGACGATGTGTGTGAAGGTGAGGAGTGCAGCCTCTCGCTGCGCCAACTCCGTGGACAGCAGTCAGAGAGTCCAATCAGCCTGCACAACGCCTCCAATGCCACCAATGCTTCCGATGCCGCCGCATCCAATGTGACGGCAACGGCGTCGGAAACGCCGGAAAACTCTTCGTCTGAGGATGCGGAGGCTGAGTCACCAGCTGCACCAGACACGGTGCAGATCTACGTCCCCGATCCGTCCGAGACCATTGAGGACGATGGTGAGGATGACGTCGGTGAGACGATCAGCAAGGTCAACGAAACATTGAAGCAGAACCAGCGGGAGGAGGAAGAAGGTGGCACTTGCTGCTTCAGCGGAGAGGACAGCAAGGACACGTGTGGCACCTGCTACCCAATGTCAATTGCTTCCTACAAGAGCAAGTGCTCCAAAAAGCATTTTTGCCGGATCCTCAGGTCAGCTGAACTTGCTTTTGCTGTCAAAGCAGCAATGTAACTCGCGAATGTTCCGTTTGTCTTGAGAGCAGTTGTACCTTCGTCGGTTGGAACGGCTCATGCTTCAAAACTTCTTTTGTACCATTTTGATGCAGGCCTTGGTGAATGCGCTGGCACCTGGTGTCCGACGAAATGCGTGGTGCCCCCAGACTTCGGACAGCTCGCCCTGTAATTCGGCCTGTGGTGTTGCTATCGGCTGAATGCATGTCACTTAGCACCCTGAGGTGATGAGTGCCGCCGACCCGGGCGACATGTGCGGCACTGCATACCCCAAAGGTATTGCTAAAGGTGCAGACCTCATCAGCCAACGTAATCTGATTCCGCACGCTTGGCAGAAGGAAAGCCTGGTGCTTGTGATGTGAATTTAGGAGACAGTTTCTGCGCATCTTCCAAGAAAGCATGCGGCAGCTGCAAAGGAGACCCTTGGCAAACTCAGTAGAAGTCATCATGCTTGCGCATCTTTTGGCGTGCAGCAACCTTGCTTGTTGAGAGTAACGCTTGAGGCCTGTATCTGTTACTTTTATGTGTCAGTATAATTAGCAACAAATGGTTCTACTGCTTCTATTTCATAAATGCTGCAAGGTCTTTGCATTGTAGAGGGCAGGCGATGATGTGTAACAAGGGATTTGTGTGTGTGTGTGTCAAAGAAAAGGGGAACTGCTCCTGAAGCCATTGCGTGTGGTTGCAATATGCCTTAGGAATGGTGCCGGGCCGGCTACGCTTCCCACTTCAAAGTGCAAGAGGCATGTGTAGACGTGGTAGCTGGCTGGTACAAATTTGAGCAAGCAGCAAGCTGTAAGTTCCCTTCCTGTCCAGGACAGCTATGGCCGTGAGGAAAACGTGTATGTGGCGCCAGATGATACCAATGGCTTCTGCTGCTATCGTGGAGAGAAAGGTGCAGATGGCATGTGGCCTGGCACAGGACGTGAGTCCCAGAGTTGCAGGATGTTCTGCTACCTGTAGCGTGGGCTCCCTGACAAGCCGCACTGAAACCACAAAGCTTGAGGCAACATGCACGGGCATAAACGCATGGTGCGCTCGGGATGAGCTGCTTAGCCAAGGTGCGGCGCTTGCGCTGACGTTGCCAAGGACAGCACATGCTCCACAAAGAACCGCTGCGGTGGCTGTGGCGGGACTTGGTGCCCAGGGCCCAAGCACCTCGCCATTCATTTGGTGATGAACATCAATGAACATGCGTGCGCTGCAGAAGAAGCTTGCTTTGTGCTTCCTGGTAAATTGCAGTTGGTTGAGCGAGCCAGCTGGTTGCAGGGCTTGCTCTTATAGTTTTGGTGGGCTGTCTTGGCCTGATGGGGGTTGTTCAGTCCGAAGCTCGGCTGTACCCAACGCTCTGCTACCAAAGGCCAGGCCCGTTTATATATTCACGGCTTGAAAACACTGAATGACTCCTGTCGTGCTGTTTCATGGTGCGACGCCCAAAAGCCCAAGCAACCGAGGTGTGTGAAAGCCTTCAAGGACAAGACGAACCCATGTGGAAGCGCTTATCCCGTAAGCGGCATTGCCCACCCAGGCCGCTGAATCCTGTTTCTAGGAGTTGCTCCACTGTCAGCTTGCAGTGATTTGCAGATGACTACTGCGCTCTGGACGAGAAGCAGTGCACCGTGCTGAGATCCATCCTGCACATGGTCAAACTGCTGGATTACCTGCTAAGCTTACTCAGGTGTGAGCTGCAAGGGTCACTGGTGCCCCATCCCCAACATTACGCAGCTTGAAGATAAAAGCTGTTCCAGTGTGCTGGACCAAAAGCCTTTACTGTGCAGATTGGCCTGATCGTCGCATGCACGAACTGAGGTATTCCGATGGCTCGAAATATGACCCAAACAAGCCATGGTCTGCTCACGGAGACCAGCGCCTTGAACCGGACTGCTGCATATGCTGACTGCTAGCCCAAAGAGAATGCATGGCGCCTTTGACATGCAACTGCCTCAACATCAGCAAACTCTACGCTCATTTATGACCGACTCAGCGCTCAGGGCCGTGCCCATCTGTGTTGCGCGCTTTGCAGTAGCGTTTGCTCACTTTGTTCAAGCCGTTGTGTTCGAAGCTGGCTAGCGTTTGACTTGACCTCCGTGCAGGAGAACGCGACAGCAACTGCTGAAGCAGAGGAGGAGGTTGAGAACGATGACGGTCGCTTGCCCAAGCTGCTTCTCTTTGTGGCTTCACATGGTTTGACTCTGCTTTGCTCAGGCCTCGATGACCTCTTCCCAGATGGGCTTGCTGACCATGGCATGCCATGAGCCCATGCGTATACCTTGCATTTCGCATGGCCTGGATAATGGGCAAATCATGAGGAGGTTGTCGAGCATGGAATATCATTATGCCCATAGCTTTTAGAACTGCCAGATGCTGATCCAGTTGCTGGCAGCAGCCTTTACACTTAAATTGTGTGTGCTGCCAGCAACCAGAGGACGCCTCAGGGCAGCACTCAGGCCATAGTTCTTGGTTGCTCCAAACGCGGAACAGCTGAGACGCTCTCACCTTTCGTAGATCTTGATTTAGCGCGCAAAGCACATAAACTGTTCTTTGGGCATCAAAGAAACACGTGCGCAGTGCTGTTTGCAACATTCTATAGCTCAATTATATTCAATTCGTAGCAGTAAATCACCAGCCTTGCAGTCGCACCAAAGGCATGCCATGTGGACTCTGGACTGCCACGCCTGCGACAGGAACACTACTGTGAGAGGGAGTGCCATTCTGGCGAGTGCGGTTCGTCTCAGCCACGGCTATCGTTTTCGATCATGAAGCGGGCAGAGCTGAAGAAAGCCAATCCAGGTGTCGGAAAGATCCTGACAGTTGGGGTGACCGCCGGAATCCCAGTTCCCAAACATGGCTTTGGCGATTGCCTCGGCCTTTCCAATCCTGGCAGTGACTTCGCTATGTAGGCACGCGCCCTGCATTGTTCTTTTGACGCACATTGTAAAGAAACACACCAGATGCCATGGCAGCCTGGATTTCCTGGTTCTGTTTCACATTTTCTTGACCTTGTGACTACAGTACTACGGATCTGGAAAGCATTCCTGTGATTCCCACGCGATCTACAAGAATCTCTGTTTCTTCAACAGTGACTCTACTCTTGACCTCAATTGACAACTGTGAAGGAGTACCCTACCCTGTATTTCTCTCCACAGCAGCACGCATGCCCTCAACCAGTTGCACCGCGAAGCCGAGAGCCTTAACTTCTTCTCGTCCTGATTCCTCAATTCTCAGTGCTATTGCTTTGATGCTTGACATTTGTGTTGCAAGGCTGCGCGTGCGGCAAGTGCCTCCCTGAGCAGGTTGAAGAGAAGTTTCAGGTAGAACACGGTAGAACGCAGTTCGTTGCAAGTAGCGCTGAAGGACCTCGAACTGCAGCAGCGAGTCTTCACGGCCTCGCTTGGTGAAGTTTGTGCAATTCTTGGATCCATGCTACCGCTGCATGACTCCGAGAACAGATGAGCTGATAAGATCTACTGAGGTGGGTTGGAGGACGAGGCGCCCAACTCGGACCCTTCGGTGTGGGCACAACATGTGTCAACGGCATAGGATGATGACCTGCTGTCATGTCAGCTGAGGGTGAAGGCTTTCGTAATGGTGGACTCTCTTAGCTGACATGCCTGCTCATGCCTTCATGTGGATTTGGGCTCCAGCTTAGCTTGGGGAAATATCCCCGTAGAAAAACGACCGGTGCCGGGCGGGCCTGCCACTAAGTCGGACAGCAGCTGCTGCTCTCATTCTTCTGCATGTCGTTTCTAATGGCAACATGACTTGGTTTGAGGCAGACCGGATCGTTCACATGGCTTCAATCTCAGCAGCGCCCTCCTACCTGCCGCTGGCTGTCGGCTTACCGTTGGTTTAAAGTCATGTGAAGTCATGTGAAGTGTGGTTAGCATGGCTATGTCCTCTGTCAACCCATCCTCAGGCCCTTATTGACAAGTGCATCGGCTCGCGAATTTGGGTTTGGAGCTCAAGCAAATGTACATGCTGAATTGTGATTCACACGCTTTCCTAAACTGTCCTTCACACATTTGAAAGTCTTAAGTCTTAAGTTGTGAGCTTGCGAAGCAAGCCGCGGAAAGATTCGGAGTAGGCATGAATATGGTATCCGCAGGTACCGGACACGATTGTTCTTGGCTCCCCTCTCTGGTCCGTCCAGATTTTAGTAGCTAGAAACATCGTCAGCATGGTCAGGTGGAATCCATGCTAGTTTGTTTCGATTAGGGGTTGGCCGACAGGCAGACCAGTGATGTGCGTTGGTCTGACTAGTTCTGCAAATTCATGAGAGTTGCCTACACCAGGGTCTCCAAGTCTGAAAGTTGCATCATGAAGCTCTCAGCATCCCAAGGTCATTATGAAGGGTGACAAGGAGATTGTAGGCACCTTGCGCGGTTTTGATGACTACGTCAACATGGTGATGGACGCAGTGCGCTCAGCATCTTGGAAACGGGAGAGTCCAGCATAAAACAGCCACAAGACCAGCGCACCCATCCCAAGGATGTCCGAGAGTACACCTTCACGCCGCAGGGCAAGAAGATCACGCATTTGGAGTCGAAATGCCGGCCAGATTAAGATCCATCCGGCTCAGATTATCAGGTGTCGCTTCATGCCCGCGCCATGCCCGCGCCAGGATACTCTTGAACGGCAATAACATCACAATGCCAGCAAGCTCAGCATGTTGTGCATTTAGCGTTGAAACTCCAACTTGGTTGTTGCGAGTTCGGTTTCGCAGTGTTCTCGCCGAGGATGATTCCGGGAGGGGATCCAGAAGAGACTGACAAGGGCGGCGGCGCCATGTGAGGTATATGTTCTTGGGGATTGGAATGCAGTTCCCCACGGAGTCTCACTGCCAGAAGCAAGCGCTGTGGCCAAAACCACCGCATGGAAGCGCAGAAAAGAGATGCTCGCGAGTGTGTGCTGCAGGTGCATGTGGCTGCATGTGCGCCGGAAGCTTGTTACTTTAGAGGAATGGAATACTTGTCATGCAGGAAAGACTGTGGGATAGAGCCTTGTAGCATTCTGCCTATGCGTTCTCTGCAGGGACGAAGGACAAATGAAATCCTGCATGGCTCACTTGATGCTGCTGAAATGAGAGAAGGCATCCACTACTCTTTAATCAACGCCTGGAAGGACAATGCTAAGCACCCTCGTCCCGTGACATGAGATGTTCCAATACTGAACCGTCATGTCATAGTGACTTGTCATTCGGCAAGTTTAGCATCTGGGATGGAACCTCTAGCATGCATCTGGAACCTTGGTAAACCTCAAACATCAAGCCCTAGTCCCTGATCCTTCAAATTCATGTTTGGTATGCGACTTCGGTTCTGTTTAATCATGCACATTTTTTAAAGTCCTGTGTATCAGGATGGCCAAGCAGCAGAGGCCACAATGTTGGCGCATACTGTGTTTTTAGTCAGAACGCTCAAATCCTGACCTCTAGAGGATGGAGGCGGTAGTCACGTACAGATGAAGGATCTGCTTCCAGGGAAGGCTCCGGTTGCGCTAGCGCTTGTTATGTGAACGGTATACCTGCCGCTGCAGATGCGAAAAAGGAGAGCCAAAAGACCCCAGAATGATGCTCCAAGTCCCTAAGCCCAAGATCTGTAGTCCCGAAGCCTAAAACCTCAATCCCTGCTTGAATGCAGCAGATGACGTAATGATGCGCAGTGTACATGCAGTCTGAAGGTGCTCGCAGCCACTCGCTCTTTGCAAACAGACGTGTGGGAAACGACATGACCGCCCCGATCCCGGGGGACATGCAATATTCAGGCGGCGGGTGTCTGGCATGCGTGGGGCAGATGCATTTCCAGCAAGTGTAGCCACGAAGGAGGCAAGTAGCGCCAGAAAGCAATCTCCACCCAAGGCTGCTCTCACACCTGTGAGCTGAAGTGCCACGAGGGAGCCTGCGGAGACTGTAAAGTGAAGGTGGGAGAGCAGACAGCATCAGATTCTCATACGTCTTGACGCTTTAGTTTCTCAGCAGCGGCGAGGATCAACAGCCACTCGCCATGCAAAGACAAGCGCAGGTGCAGAGAGACTGCCGGTGTGGACGTACACGTCGCGAAGCTGTTTGCTCAGCAGGCGGCCAGCATAGCTGAGTTGAAGTCACTGCGAAAGGGCTTGTTGCACAGGTGTGTCAGAGACTAGGGTTACCAGGGGCTTTGCCGAACCAGGTGGGTGGATGGAGGAAGTACAACAAGTTTATGGAAGCCGGGACAGCGCAACATCAGCCTGGCTTGACAGACTACTTATGGCCCCAATGGCGAATCAGGTCGCGGTTCAGCTTGTAATGTCTTGAAAGGATGAGCCCCTCATTATTTTAATAAATGTAGGAGACGTGCAGCATGGGAAAGCAATTTATTTGGGACTGTTTCTCCAGTCTGCATGCCGGGTTCCAAGCTTGGTCGTGCAAGATGGTACCTGAAGCATTCCTGTGGTTACGTTCTGAAGTTGTGCTGCCGTTCACTTCCGTTTGTGCTTGCTGGCTCAATGCTCTCGCTTATAACCATCTCCCAAGAGTTCACAAGATCTTAGGGCCCACTTCTAAACCTCGTGGGATCTCGCGGGCATGTTTGGTGCGGGTCAGAAGATTGCTGCAATTTTACACACCCTGGCAATTTTGCTTGCTGATTCCTGTTGCTGCAGGTGCCGAACTGCTGTGCGATAAGGTCTGCCGAACGAAGAAGACGTGCGGGACAAGCATGTGGGGGATGTTCCGGGCGCAGGTACTGAACATGTGGATTGTAAATTGCGGAAGATGCAGCTCTGCAATGGCTTTGCATAATCTTGCCTGCCGCGCTGGCTCCCAGCCTCACAAAGGCTTGCTGTAATGTCAAATCACACTTCCAACTTTTCGCACATAATAGATGGCGCCACCGCCGGCACCTGCTCAGACTGCAGCAATACAGTGCTCGGCAGCTAGATCTGGTACGGAATGCGAGTAGTGATAGTTCCTGTCCTTTCTGACAATTATGCGTGTTGTCCTCAGAGGTAGCGCAGTTGTGAGGGTAAAACGCGTTCATCTGCCTCAGTTCTGCAGTAGCAGGTATACCTTGATGGAATTCGCCCAGGTATTTGCTAATTGATGACACCAAGAAGATCGCAGCCTGCGTAGATCCCGCCGAGGCTGCCCAACTCCAAGAGCTACTCCCTTCGTCACATAGTTTCACCACGTTTGCTCCTGCCAATCCCATCCATAACGCTGAATCAAGACCAAGCAAAGCAAGCCAAATGGCTGGGGTCACGGTGGAGAAAGCTGCCCTCACCACATGACTTGGTGCGTACATCCGGGTGAGGTGTTCCAAGATTGGGCTATGGGTTGCTAACAACCTTACAACAGCTGATTCTTGAAGCCTTTGTGCTCCACAGAATAAGCGACCATGTTGCAAGACCGCCGAGGCGATTATTACGGGCTATTATGCAAGAAGGCTTGAATTGCTAGTGTCTGGCTGTATTGATTTTCAGGGGGTGTAGGGATTTGGGCACCCACCATGGTGCAAGGGCATCTTGAGCTCTTTGCATGGACGCTGGCTGAGGAAAGAACATCTGCAGCTTTGCAACATGCGTACAGGGAAACCGGCCCACCCAAACCGGCGCTTGAGTGAACCATGTGAACCAGAGCCGGCATCAGACTTGAAAGCTCGGGCTCCGTCGAAGAAACCACACAAAGTTCATCAGTCATCAAAATGTTGAGCAACCTGACTTGACTACTTCAGCCGTCTACATTTGAAATTGTTGGGTTGCAGTGCTCAGCCGCTCATTTGAAAGCCGCGCCAATCCGAACATTTTTGCAAACTGCCACGCCACCAGGCTGCTTTAGCATCGAACAACCACAAATACCTAGCACGTCTCAGATCTTTACGGCTTTCGGCATGCAAGCCCCTGACTTGGAGGCACACCTCGTCCTTGCAAAGGCCAAGGAGGAAGGTGTGGAGATTGTTGCGGTGCCTACCTTAGCACGAGCTTAGACACCGCATGCCATCCGGCATTCTTCTTGCCTCTTCTACCTCTACGCTGAGGTTCTCACAACTCACCACCATTACGATCATGCTGGTGGAAATGCAGAGATGGTCAAACAGGCAGGCATCCTGTTGATGTGTTGATGTTTGGACTGTGAGCCAGTGCCCTTGCTGAGTCCTACTGGTGCGCCGAAGCATTGCTGCAGGTGCCTGGCATCAAAGTCTATGGCGGGCGCATCGACAATGTGGCTGCGTGTACGGATCCGCTGGACCTGTGCTAGTCCTCTTGCGAGGTAAGAATAAGAAAGCATCATCAGCTGTGCTGAAGCAGGAGCATGGCGATAAGTTCAACATCGGGTCCATCGAGGCATGGATTTGAGGTCGCGCAATGCAATAGCAGTGTGCCAGACCAAGCTGAGGTTTCTGCATTACACACGCCTGGACACACGCGCGGATCCATATGCTACCACTGTTACGACACGCCAGACAAGGAGGCTAGCCAAGTTGGGGGCTCCTCAGCTGGGAATTGCAAGGAGCTTGGAAGCACAGCCAAGAAGTGACATAGCTAATTTGAGGCCAGTCCTACTGTTCTAGGCATTCTGACATCTGGGGCTGACCTCTGGTGTGATATCTAAATCAGCGCATATTCACTCACAAGCCACCATGCAACTGATAGATCAAGTGTAACAGGAGTATTGTGAATAAAGTATAGTATAAAGAGTATGTTCGTGTTCTGAAACCTGTAAAGATTGCAAGTGGCAGGGCTTGGTCTTCACGGGCGACACTCTCTTCGTGGCTGGCCGCTCCCTCGTCCGCTTCACACGTCATGTAGATCCACGGTCCATCTCAGCTTGCAACACCCCAGCAGCATGGGCTTGCAGACAGATGCTGGAAAAGCAGAAGTAGGTCTTGGCTCCCTCGATCCAATGGGAGAACGCGGTCGCATGCAACCAAGTGGAGTGTGCAGCCCTGTGGAGGTTGCGGCCGCATGTTCGAAAGCACGCCAGAGGCGGGCCTTAGCAGCATAGCAACTTCAGCTTCGCATCCAACACAATATGTGCCAGGAGTTTCACAACTCCCTCGTGAGGGTGCCGGGCCCCGAGTAGGAGAAGACCCTCCAGCAGTCAGCAGGGGCCCCCAAACTCGGGTCAAGTTTGCAAGCATGTCAGGCTGGGTGCCCTGCCACCCGAGACTCAAGTGTACGTTGGCCACGAATACACTGTCCGAAACTTACAGAGAGGGATCGATTTGCAGGGGACTGGCTCCGAAGGGGGGGGAGGACGTATAAAGATTCCTGGAGTTTTTCGCTGATCAGCCAGTCAAGAGACTTGTACTTGTGCGCGCTGTTGCAGGTCAAGAACTTACAGTTTGCTGTGGCCGTCGAGACCACGAACAAGAACTTAGAGAACTGCCTGCCAGTTTATTCGTTGCGTTTGACATTGAATTTTCACTTAGGCTCCATAAGGAGCCTGAATTGTTGTTGGGCATTGTCCGCGGAGCGCATGGTAGGCACCCAAGGATGCGGACTGAGTCTATAAAGTAGAAAGCACATAGCAGGCGCTTGTTTGCCAAGCCTGTACGGATCTTTAGACGAACAAGGTCATAGAAAGCCGTGTCAGGCAGATGTTGACATGGGCGCAGGAGCAGAAGGCCGTGACGTGGTGATGTCATGATTTGTGCCTTCTCGGCGTAAGCATAGCGGAGGATGCAGATGATGATGCATCGATGCATGGGCAGGTTCAGCGCAAGTTCACTGTGCCATCAACGATGCGCAATGCATCTCAGCTGCCAGAGATCCTGTCAGCATTTTTCTGCTCATAGCCTGCACTTGTCTGTGCGAAGGAATGGCTGATCAATCCCTTCTTGCGGTCCGCCGATGACAGCATGAGGACTCAAGAGTTGAGCAATGTTGCATCTCGGAGCCATGACCGGGCTTCAGCAGGCATGTCACAAGTCTCTGCAGCATGTCGCCTTCGGCGGACTGCTCTAACACACGCAGGCACACAAGCATAAAGACATCAGAAGAGGACACACGCATTCTAAGAGAGGCATCTCCATGCAACGAAGCCTGCTATGCTACTTATTTATTCAATTATTTTGGATTAAGAAGGACTTCTCTTACCCTTGTATAATCTTGATCTGATTTTGCAGTTGTGCGCTCCAATGGAGGAGCGTTTGTCCCGGCTGCAGCCCGGTCGAAGCCGAAGCCTCGGCGTGATGTGAATAGGTCTAGAGGAGTATGTCTAGAACAAGGTTCGTTAGGAATACTGGTGAGTGTAAATACGGGGTTTCCTTTTTTGGGGAGCAGCAATAAGAAGCCTGAGTTACGCGCAGTCTTGTTTGTTTTCTTTTGGCAAGAAGCCCAAACTAAGACCGTAGGCGTGTTGCTGCTGTTGCACAATTGCATACAATCGGTGTACGGACAGGGTACGATAGCTTTGCCAATCAAGGCACTAGCCTTTCATCTTGTCTTCCAGACACGGTTCAGCTCGCAGGCACTGATGAAGCAGGAAAGGGAAGTTGGTACGGCCAAAGGTAGAACACTTACAGCAGCTCAGCGAGACCTTGTTGGATGGTACTGGTGTGCGAGTTTGGTGGGCAAGGCCTCAGTCTAACACTACTGCATAAGATTTTGCTTCAGCAAGCTGGGCGCAGAGTCAGGTTTTTGCAAAGCTGCGGAAGCAGAAGGACAACTTCTGAATCGCCACGCGGCTGACGTCCTTCATTGGACATGCACAGTCTACGGAATGCGCGGCCCTTGCGTGACTGTTGCAGAGTAGTGCGTAGGTTGCCTTGTATTGAGCCGCTGCGATGGACGAAACACGAAAAAAAAGATGAAACAATCAGGGTGCACTCATCAACTGGCGCCCGTTACACGCGATCATGCTACCTTTCATGGATATGCCACAGTTTGGCGGGGCCATGACAAGCCGGCCGAGCCCGTGAGGAACCACAAATGCGATGTGGTGTGTTGCGAAGGCGACATCCTTTCTTCAAAGTGCTCCTCTCAGCCTGTGTGCGGCCACCTGGTGCAGGTTTCAACAATCGCAACCATGAGGTGCGCTGAATGACTACAGAGTAGCTTGCTTTTGTGTTCTGTTTTTATGGAGATCTTTGCGCTGTTGTCAGCAGGCGCACATGTGCCTTCAAATTTGTGGACGCCCGCTGTCCTGCGGCAACCACACGTGTGAGGACGGTGGAGATATAGTTAGGGGGTAGTGACAGTTCGGCTGAGTTCCTCACATTGCACAGGAGTTCTGCCACTTGGGGAACTGCCCTCCGCGGCTTCCCGAGTTTTTGCGCCCTAGTACAGAGAATGACGCACGGTAAGTCCAGGTGCCGCGTGGTCTTGCACGAGCCAATGTATTGTGCCTGTGGGAAGAACTCCGTGGAGCCTCCTGTGGTCCTAGCCTGATGGGAGGTGACTGCAACGTGCCAGTAGAGCAAGCATGAGTGCAACCCGCCTACTTAGTTTTGTGGTACGGCGCCACCAGAGTGCGACGAGCCCTGTGCACAGCTGCCAGAGCCTTTGTCGCCAGCGCCGGCGCCAATTTGGAGCGTGGCATCAGCCCAGGATGGAATGTGGGCACAGATGCCAAGCGAAGTGTCATGAAGGTGCCTGCCACTATTCTTTCAGAGCATGCTTAAAGTTGAACCGAGCAGGCCCACATCCTTTGTGCTGCGAGTTGGTTCCCCGGCTGTGTTTGGGCAACCCCTCCGCGCTTGGTAAGAAACTTGCGGAGTCTCCTTGTTGCCCATGCAGAGTCTTGATGAAACGCCTGTGTTGAGCGGGACCAGCTGTAGCAGGTGGCCACAAGGAGATGTTCAACACGCCTGATTCCGAGCAGAGTCAGCCAAAACATGCAAATCTGAAAACCGAGAGTTAGGGAGCAAAGGCCTTGTCACGTTGGGCCCATGTCTTGTGGCCAGCCTTGTGGCCAGAGCCTGAGATCCTCGGTGCAACCTAACACGACATGCCTGGGCACCTTGCAAAACGGAAAGCTGGCTCAAGAGCTGATACAGCGTGCGCTATGTGTTGGCCGCGGCCTTGGCACCCCTGCTATGCTGCTGAGCGTGTCCCTCCTCTCTGGGCAAGAGATTCCAGCGCCCAAGCTCTAACATGTGAGCTGGGTGAGAATTACTAAAGAGTGTTAAAACCACTGCAATATGATGCGGGGCTAAACGATATGGGGTACCCTAAACAAACCCCACCATTACCACAGACATGTAATGTTGACGCTAGCTCATGTGACTCATGGGAAGGCCCTCTTTTTTCGTTCACCTGTGCAGAATCAAACTGATCAAAATCGTGGCTCGAAAGCTGGTGATAAAGTATATGCGTCGTAAACCATTAGTCAGACGCCGTGTCAGAGCCCTGCCTTGAACTTGGGCAAAAGGTACACCTAGATTCTAAACGGAACCAAAATCCTACTGCGCAACCGTTAAAGGTTCACGCGGACCCGGAGGAGTTGGTCCTCGATCTAGTCCACCGCGCTCAGGCTCCGGCAGTGATCAAAATGCAGAAGCATTTTTGGGGTGTGTTTAGAGCTTAGACATCTTATAGAGTCACCTCTGTGATTCACTATGTAGCCTGGAAGAGTCTGACATGTCCGTGTCCCAAAAGATTCTGAAGGAGCTGCTGCTTCGTGTTGTGAGTCTGGTAAGCTCCACCGGCGTGCTGCTGGATATCTCAAGGACGCAGTGAGTGCATGCACAGGGGCTGGGAGTGCTGGTGGAGTGCGGGGGGCTCACACACCAAGGATCTTCTCTGCTACGCTGATTTGGTCCTTGTTATCCAGTCGGTCCATCCACTCGAAGATGTGCGACAGCCATAATTAATTAAAGCTCGCAGATTGTAAGGGCTTGAGTTCATTCTAGCTCCACCCCAGCCTTGCGGCTTTTCAATTTTTTGCATCGGCTTGGCGTTTTGGACCTTGGGTTTCCGTAATGGCGGAGACCTCCCTTTGCAAAATCACGAAGGTGCCTGGCTGGGCCATAGCCCTAGCTATACCACATCAGAAACTTAAGCAACGCATCTGATCAGGAGTGTTGGTGACGAAGGTGTGCAAGATGGTGATAGACTGCTGGCGGTCATCGACAAGAGAGAGACTCGCACGCAGTCTTGAAGACCAATAGGGATGTAACCATTTTTCGGAGGCCTACAATTGGAACCCCGGAGAACCGCATCTGTGCAAGAACGGCACCTTGACATGCCAACCTGAATCTGCAGCGCCAACCCTGCGCCATAGAAGGCTGCTAGCAAATTTGTGGCATTGATGGAACGTTGAGAAGCTATCAGCCACTTGTGCCAATAATTGCTTCGCAGACAGTATGTGCCAAGATTTGATGACGAAAGGTCAGCAGTTTTGTTTTTTTTGGGAAGTGTTGTAGTCTGCCTGGCAACCGGCTCAGTACAGTGATCAAGGAGCCTCCAGTACAATGGCACAACAGAGGCTTCGTTTTTGCAGCGCTGAGAGCAGACGAGACATTAGTGGTGTGGGGATCCGATGAAACAGGCCTGCACATTCTCCAATACTGTCACCGAAGGTGCCACATGAGTACAAACAGGCTGTCTCCTGTATCTCCTGTCAGGTGGCCTCCTGGAAGTTCCTGGCAATCTGTCAGAGGTCCAGTCTGTGCGCGTGACCTCGAAAGCTATCGTCGCCTTGACCCGCAGCGGAGGAGTGGTGGCTTGGGGGGATGCTGTGACTGGTGCCCCAGATGAATCATCATTTCAAGACCATGTCGTGAAAAACGCGTGCGCTTCACGAGCTTCAGCAATCCCCAGCACTTGCACGGAAAAGAGTCCGTTAGAAGCTCCAAAAGCATTTGTTCCGCCAACAAGCAAAACAACAGATCTGCCGCAGTTGAGAAGGCAAGACCTCATAGCCAGCTGGTCACGCAAATGCTGCCTCCAACAGCAAGGCATGGAAGCACATGTGGACAGAGCAAGCAACAAAGAACATCACATTCTTCTTGCAGATTTTCCTTCGCATAGATGAGTCTGATTCACTGCCGTGTCACATGCGGGAAATCCATAGTGCTTATGCTGCCTGACTTGAGTGATCTGAGGTGGCGATGCCAGTGCCGTGCAGCAACAGCTGTGGGATGTTCGGCAAGTTTCTGCATCCTCTTATGCCTATGCAGCCGTTCGCGGTGATGGCACAGTGGTCACCTGGGGTGACCCCACAAGCGGCGGTGACAGCAGCAGCGTCGAGGCAGCAGGGAAAGGGGCTTGTCACGACGCCCTCAGAACTTCAATTTTGATGCAGTCATGGCGAGGCGTTTCAATTCAGAAGATTTCGGAAGTCATTCAAGCAAGGTCTCAAAAACAAGCATTGAAAAACATGGCAGACCAATCTGAATAGTGTGTGCGTGTGGAACAAGGCTTGGGAGGATTCATTTCGGGGTTTGCATTGGCCAATACTGCACGTCAGGAACAGGAGCACCCATTACGGAGTTGTTTCACCATGATCGCGGATACTGATGCGGATGCCATTCAGAAACCATGCCTATGTTAGGAAGATTAAGGGCGGCACGAGGGTCTGAGGGTTGGCAATGCGCGCGAAGGCTTGCGCAAATGCGGGTGCGAGAACACACACTTCCTCATACATGCTGACTCTGCATCATGTATGAATTCCTTTTTTTTGGGTCACAGACGACCTGGGACCACATGGTCAGATATTTCGGAGATTTAGGCTCGCGCTTGGATGGACCTCCTTTGTGAACAGTGAGCAACCTGGTTTCTTGGAACATGCGTACAAAGATTCGTCCGCTTTCCCTGGGTTTCTTCCGCGTGGCTCTCAACCACTGCAATCAGAGAAAGGGCCCTGGGATTGTTAGGTTGATGTGTGGCGCAAAGAAAGCCTCCCCAGGACCAACTTCGAGGGGTCGTCCATGTGTCCGCCACTTCTTGGGCGTTTGCTGCTGTACGCAACGATGGCTCCGTGGTCACATGGGGCGACCCCCAGAAGGGTGGTGACAGCCATGCCGTTCAGGATATCTTGCCTTTGTATTGCCTTTGTGCGAGTTGCTTTGTGCACTGCGCCACAAATAATCATCATTGCAAGAATCTCTGCTGCGATGAAAGCTCATGGCAGGAGCAGTTAGAAGGCGTCAAGTCTGTGTGCGCTGCCTCCTACTCTTTCGCTGCGCTGCGACGTGATGGGTCAGCCGGAACCTGGGGAAGTGACGGCACTTCTAGCCAAACATCAGATG